AAAAAAAGATGAAGAGTAATGCTATAGGTACATAATAGTGCACATAGAGGTGTACATAACACTCACATTGAGTGGGTCCTACCAAAAATAAAAAATCAAGTGGACCCCACTCCATGTGAGTGTTATGTGCACCTCTATGTACATTTATTATGTACTTGTAGCATTTTTCTTTATGATTTGACCACAAAACGTTCAATAATTTACCCGTGTCTTTGTGTGTCAAAGCGTCTCTATTCTCAACACCAAATACATGCATCCTCTGAAGAGTCCCTATTATTAGGTGTAAAGAGGTCACCTGAGCTTTCGAATCCTACATCCGCAATTCAAAGCAAAAGTTGAATAGCTAAACGTTTTTATGTAGACATGTAAAAGTTTTGTCCATGTAACCAGTAAGATAACCGGAGATTTGGGTACATACCGTAATTTCTTCTTCATATAAGATATAAGCTTGTGTGAAGAACTCATACGCTACAGGTTCTAGGTCGAAGTTATTTGCAGCCTGATAATTAGCAATTTAGCAATCAACAGTTTGAGAAAATATGGATACCACAAGTAAAGGTTACTGGTTAAGGAAGGAGTACCTCGGCACACTGCAGGTACAATCCTAGAGCCAATTCAGGCACTGGAATACTCGACAAAGTATCAATGGTCTACAATAATAAGGTCACCAACTTTGCTGAAAATTTCTATAAGGAAAAAAATTAAACGAGTGAACAATCAGAGCACAACAATTATCGAACATTGCAGAAAGAGAATACCTATATCGACCTATATTCATCAAAAGAATACAGAAATGATTAACTGCATCTAAAACAGATAGCATAAAGCTAACAATACCATTGCAAAGTAAAATCATACCAGGGTCACTAACTGAAAGATCTTCTTTGGTGTGGCTGATGCCTCGTCACCAGATACACCTTCATTTTTATCCTCCAGTTGCCGTACCAGCTGGTAAAAACAATTCAGAATAAAAACTTTAAATACAATAACACATCTAGATACTACCTAATGTAAGTTCGTTTTAGTAAATTAGCATGAAAAATACAGACACACAATGGTGAGAACAAATCATGTTTTCAAGCAATCACGTTTAAGACATGTATTCTTCTATGTTGGTATTTCACTATTAGAATAACATAAAGACGGTTTCACTGAAAATTAAAAAATAACTCACGATGTTCTTTTATCGAATTGATATTAACAAAAAAATTTCCAAAGTGAAGGGCAACTAAACAGGAACAAGGAGGATCCACCAAAGAAGATCCTTCTTCCTTCTTTCTGGAAGAAAAGGCGGATCCAAACAAAATCGACGAAACAGAAGAAATCCGAGTGAACAGAATGAAGATAAACTTCACCTTCAATTTAAAGAAAGAAGCGCATGTACATTAATCAACATACCCAGTATATTCCCTATTCCCAACAGGTTGGGGTCTGGGGGGTCAGTTGTACGCAGACCTTACCCTTGTAATTATCCAAGGAGGTTGTTTCCATAGCGACCCAAGAAGCGCATGTACATTGCATATTTTAATTTCTTTATTTTGTTATTGTACGCTGAACTCACTCTCTCTCTCTCTCTCTCTCTCTCTCTCTCTCTCCTAATACAATCTTCCATCATGTTTTTCATTTCCTTGAGTGTCGCATTCAATAGAATACCTAACTGTATCGGTCAATAGTGAAAAAGAAAAGTATTGCCAGAGCATAAAAAATAACAATATCTGAACAGTAAAATAGTCCGGCAGTGCAATGGCTTTACATAATAACTGGTAAGTGAGAATAAAGAGGTTGACCACCATGCAGAAAGAATTTGGCGGACCTCCCTGTTTGGCTTTGGGCTACAATGATGAATAAAAAGATTAAATTCTGATTACATCTCCCCGGTGGTAGTATACAAGCAATTTTTTAAGGTTGAATATGAAAATTAGATAAAATACAAGAGTGTCACTTTTGTCCAACTATCACCTACTTCTAAAATCAAGTCAGACTATCAATCGAAAAACTGGGTATAGCCATGAAGAGATATAACTACTTAAAAAATGTACAAAACATATACCAGCTTATGCAGGGCATATAAGACTTATAATGATGGTAGACATGTGAGAAAACTCAATGTCATCTGGTATAGGAATGGAAGGGTTACAAATCCAAACAATATAACATACAGAATCAAAAGGGCGCAATAATAACAAAACTAGTGCACTATAATTGAGTTAAAAAATAAAAATAAAATTACCTTCAACATCTCTTCTGGATCATCACTTTGAAGCATTTGTATAAGACGCGCAACAGAATTTTTCTCTTCTTTAAAGTCCTCATCGAGCTAGCAATACAAGGGAAAGAAAGTAAATCACCTCAAAGACTAATGGTGATCACAAGAACGATTAGATAACAAATATAACAAATGATTGAATTTGACAGTTAAAAGCTATAAATTTTACTATATCCACACCACCTCATCACGGAGATCTTCATCTGATTCTTTTACAAGCCCCTTTATTAATTCAAACAATGCATCCACCTATAACAAAAACTCTAGTTCAAAAAGGAAGTAAGACTTTGACCAACTACAGAAAAGTTATTAAAACATATACCTTTTCAGCAGTATAAATGCAAGCCTTGTTTTTTCATTATATTTTGTATAATAACACTGCCCATCTCCTTTCTTGTTTCATTGTTTAGATGCTCCATGACACGTGGATAATTCAACAGCTTCAGTGCAATGTCTATATCTTTATATTTCTCTAGTGGGGCACTTAGTAGGGCAACAATTTGTTGCGTTGCTTTGCTATCATCAACCTTTTCTCTTCTTGAAAGTTTACTTACGCATGCTCCCTGCCGGAATTAGGTTCTCACTGTTAAAACTATATGGAAAAAAAAAAAAAACCCCTTCTCCAATTCCTCCTGACCAGTGCTCAGTCCCCACTACCACTACTCTCAGGAAAGCCAGTTTCGCAACGTGACCACTGCCTCCTCCCTGCGGCTGAGGAGGAATCGGACCACCGCCTCCTCCCTGAGCGTGGGGAGCCTGGTCAGGAGGAATCGGACCACCGCCGCCCTGAGCATGGGGAGGAATGAGAGAGCCTACATGAATTGTCGCCGCTTCCCTGAGCGTGGGGAGGAATGAGAGGAGCCTGCTGGTTAGGAATCGGACTGCCGCCGCCTCCCTGAGCGTGGGGAGGAATGAGAGGAGCCTGTTGGTCAGGAATCAGACTGCTGCCGCCGCAGCCTCCCTGAGCAAGGGGAACCTGCTGGTGAGGAGGAATCGGACCGCCGCTGCCGCCTCCCTGAGCGTGGGGAGGAATGAGAGGAGCCTGGTGGATTCTGATCGCCGCCGCCTCCTGGCTGAGGAACACGCGGAGTGGGAAACAGAGCCAAGGTAAAAGTATTGGTTGTTGCATCGAACTCTACCACTTTCCTATAGATTTTGTCATCTAGAACTGCATTTGCAAAATCAGCAAACAACATTTCTTCTCTTAGATTTACTAGAGCAAAGACGTTAAAGTTGGGTAAGTTCCTATACTCGGTTGGAATAGAAACGAAGTTGCCATCGTTAAAAGCAATTCTGACCTTATAATTTGCATCAAACAACAATAAATTGATGTTATTGAGGAAAAGTTGTCGAACGGCGGGGAGCAAATTGCCGAAAGCGGCCGTCGTATGAAGAAGCCTCTGCATTCATGGGAGTTGATGAGTTAGAAATTCAATTTGTCCATCTCTTCAACTCCCACGAATGCAGAGGCTTCTTAATACGACGGCCGCTTTCGGCATCTTGCTCCCCGCCGATCGACAACTTTTCCTCAATAACATCAATTTATTGTTGTTTGATGCAAATTATAAAATCAGGATTGCATGAAAATTTCGTTTCTATTTCAACCGAGCATAGGAACTTACCCAACTTTAACGCTTTTGCTCCAGTAAATCCAGGAGAAGAAATGTTGTTTGCTGATTTTGCCAATGCAGTTCTAGATGACAAAAACTACCGAAAAGTGTTAGAGTTCGATGCAACAACCGATACTTTTACCTTGCCTCCACTTCCCGCTCCGCCTGTTCCTCAGCCAGGCGGCGGCGGCGGACCGATTCCTCCTGACCAGGCTCCCAACGCTCAGGGCGGCGGCGGCGGCGGTGGTCCGATTCCTCCTAATAAAACCAGGCTGCTGCATATAAGATCACATTCCTTTGGCCCCAATAAAGCATGTACAACTAGTATGCAGAAATACCGGTATCAACTAATTTTCTCAGAGAAGATAAACAACAAATAATTCGCCACAACATCAGGTCACACGGAAGAAGATAAGTGATGCGCACTCACGCTAATCCTAGTTGTACATGTTCTAGAAAAGCTTACCAGGATTTGGTCAACATAATCGAGGGGATCGGGATGTACTTGTAGAGTGAATGTCAAAAGACAAGCATACAAAGTTACTACTCCAGCAATAGGAATATTTTCTTGTGCTTATATCACCTGCATTCATGATTTGGTAGCAGTTAATTTCCAGGGGCAAAAAACAGGCCAGAATGTGCTCTGAATTGTGTTAGTCGACATGATTTTTTCTATATTTACACATTTAATTAACAGTTCCACCCAGTGAAGAACACAAAATAAAAAAAATAAAATAAAATAAAACAGAAATGAAAAAAATATGAGTGTAAATTACAAATTATAACAAATAAAAATTGAGGGATCGAAGATACATTACGCAGTCATGAGAGGTGAAGTAAAGTTGAATATACTTTTAGTTGCCACCATGTGTTATTAGCACTAGGGCCATAAATTTTTAGTGCTTGTTTGGGAGCCTTTTTGTTAAAGTCCATTTATTAAGGCCTTGTTTGATAATCAGCGGTTAGCTGTTAACTGTTAGCGGATTGCATTAGCTGCTTTGATCATCGGATTGTGTTAGCTGTTTTGACCAGCTGATTGTGTTAGCAGTTTGTAATAATGTGTTAGGTGAAATTAGTTGTATTTAATTAGCTGTTAACATGTAAAATTACTTGTAAAGACATTCAATTATTAGAAATAATACACATCTATTCTAATTAAGCATGGATATTAATTCCAATTAAAAAGAGTACTAATTATTAATGATAAGAACATGTACACACTTAAATTTTTCACTTATTAATTTAACCGGTACATATATTAAAATTACTATTAATATGAGTAAGAAAAATAAAATTAAACAAGAAAAAATGAGTGCAAGGCAACAAAAAATTAGTAACTAAAAAAGTGTATGCAAGACAATTAAAAAGTGTGTACAAAACGAGTGCTTTAAGTGATGGACATGTGTCATGCTAACAACATTTTTATTCAAGGTGGCAAAAGGAAACCAAACGCTGAAACAATAAGCTCCAAAATGTGGCGTTTTCATTTTTAGCGTTTTGAGCCAATAAGCTGATTTCAAAAGCTGTTTTACCAAACAGCAAAAAAACCAATTTTGGCTTTTCCATTTCGGTCAAAACCGCTAAAATAGCTTTTTGACAAAAAAGCTGAAAAACAAACTGGGCCTAAATGGACTTCTGCCAAATGGACTTCTCCAAAAGTCACTATCTTTTACGTTTGTAGAACGGACTTTTTTGGAAAACCAACTTATCTGTAAGTCAATTTTTAGTTTATTACCAAACACGAATTATTTGTCCAAATGGACTTTTTCATCGAACAGTCCATTTGAGAAGTGTTTCCAAACAAGCTCTTAATAATAATAATAAAAAAAAAAGACTAATGCGACATAGTGAACAATTCAGATTTTACCAAAAAA